GGGGAGAGGGGCGCCGGGGCGCGGGGAGGGCTCGAGGAGGACTTGGGCAAGAGGAGGGAGGCGCAGGGGAGAGCCGGGGGAGGAGGGGGGGCGCACGGTCGGAATAAGGAATGGGGGGGGGGGGAGCACGGAGGAGAAGGCGCGGAGGCCGGGGGGCGTGGAGGGAGCATGGGGGCAAGGAGAGAGGGGCGCAGGGGAGGAGCGGCGGGTGGGCGCACGGTCGGAATAAGAGCAGGGGGGCCTGGGGAGAGCGGGGCGGGAGCACGGAAGAGAAGGCGCGGGGGCCGGGGAGCGTGGAGGAAGCACGGGGGCAAGGAGAGAGGGGCGCAGGGGAAGAGCGGCGGGGGGGCGCACGGTCGGAATAAGGGGAGGGGGGCCCGGGGAGGGCGGGGGAAGCACGGGGGAGAGGGGCGCGGGGGCGCGGGGAGGGTCGGAGGAGGACGGGGGCAAGAGGAGGGGGGCGCAGGGGCGCACGGTCGGAATCAGGGGTGGGATGGGGGAGGGGGCTCGGGAACGGCGGGGGGGGCGCGGAGGGTCCTCCGTGCTCCCCCCGCCGCCCCCGAGCCCCCGGTTTCCGCGCCTTCTCGACAGGGCGCGGGTGCCTGGGGCGTGGAGGGGGCGCGGGGGCTGGGGGGCGGGGGGGGGGGGCGGCGGGGGGGGCGCGGTCGGGGGGGGGGGGAGGGGGCACTGGGGGGGGGGTAGGGGCGCGCGGGTGTGGTGGTGGAACTCTGCGTCTTGTCGGTGCCGACGTGCAGTGGCCCTTATAGTGGGCCGGCTCGGACCTGGCCTGTAGCCAGGTGGGGGGTGCGGCGGGCCCGGAACCTCGTCAGGCCCTTCCGAAGATTTGTTAGGCCCAGGCCAACCTGCTCCTTGGCGAGTCCGCCCGAGCCCCGCAGGGGCTCTTCTGCGCGGGGCAGCCCTCTGGGGCTCCCCGCGCAATTTGCAGGTCAAGGCCCCTAGAGGCCCACGGCCTACGGCGTTCTTGCCGTATCCGCTGGGCCCTGGCCTTATTCTCGGCTATCCTGCGCCGCTGGGTGTCGGTCAGAGGGGGGCGGGGAGGGGGGGGCGGAGGCGGAGGCGGAGTCGAGGGGCAGAGGGGGGGGGAGAGTCCGATCACCTCAGCAGCGTAGGCCTCCTCCTCTGTGGGGCCTTGGCTGTTCTCAGGATCCTGGGAGGGGCCTGGGGGGTCCTGGCCAGGCGGGTCTGGGGCTTCAGAGCGGCCCCTCTGAGGGCCATGCCTGCTGCGGCCCTTTCCCCTCGCGAAATCCGGGGCCCGCTCCCTGGCCCCGTCCTCAGTCGTAGGGATCTCTGAGACGTAAAAGTCCGCCAGCCCCTGCACAAGGAGGTGGTGGGACTGGGAATCATCGCTAGGCGCATCCGGGAGCGCGTCGTCCAGAGCCGATTCGAGCGTCTCCAGAATGCTCCTCTCCGCGATGCAGCGGCAGAGGCCCGGGGGGTAGACCTTCTTCCGCGCGGTCCGGAAGGCCCTGGATCCTACCTCACGTCCTAGGAGAGTGGCGTGGGCCTCTCGCCCGTGGGAGCATTTTCCTCCCCCAGGCGTCGCAGTCAGGCGACGGTGGAGCCCCGCCATGCGGAGCCCGAAGAAGCCTGATCGGGGCCCTGCTCAGCTGGCCGTGCTCGCACTGGTCGAAGTCCGTGGTCGTGGTGCACGGCGCCGACTGCAGCGCAAGCCACGGCTCCCATATCCACGATGTGACGGCTGCGAGCCGCCAGCT